ACACACACACACACACACACGTTGACCCGCTGACACGCATCAGGTCTCACACCTACTAACCCAAATACCAGATGTAAAAGGCTAACCACAAGGCGGTTGTCACAATGGCACTGAGGTACATTGTGAATATCATCTGTGCATAAGATCGAGCCTTGTACTCGTGCATGGAACAGATTAACGAAGAGTTAATGGCGGTTGGCGCGCACGTACCCAGCAGCATGGACAGCAGAAACACCCTGTCCGATGGAATAATGCCTCCCATGAGAAGGAAGTGTATCACCAGAAAACACACGGCTGGGATAAAAACAAGACGAAGACCCACCGTCAATATGGCGAAGAGTGTCGGCTGTGTGAGTGTGACACATAAGTATTTCTCTCCCACCGCGGTGTCATTGCGATCATCGCTCTCTTCATCATCATCCCCATCATTAATCTTACCGCCCTTACTCCCCCCACGACCAGCACCACCTGCAGCAGCATCAACAGGGGGAGGACGCGACGCCGCAACGGTGCAGCCAAGTACGAGCAACTGAAGCGGAATTGCCCCTGCACCGATAAGCTTCATCCCGCCAATAACCACACTACCAAGGGGTGACTCCGCGACCCACCGCAGCGGCGGCACCAACGAAATGAAGACGGCCCCCAGACTTACAGCGATTGGCGGACTCTGCATAATGCCTCCGAGTCGACTCATCACTGCCCATGATGATAAAGACGAGGAAGATACACCACCAGGCAACCCCGTGAGAGAAATGGGTGACGCGCCGTCAGGCGGACGGTACCACACCAGCTGCTCCTCTGNAGTTGCCTTCCTCACCTGCATCTCCTCCCCCTGATTCGGTGTTTGTGATAGAGAAAATGCCTGGTTGACTTCGCTCCGTGGTAGCACTTCTGCGGCAGCAGCGGATCCCCAAGCATCGTTATCGCCGCCGTCATTGCCATCGCCAATTGGGAAATGCGATTCGTATGGGTAAATGATAATGGAGTGGACCGTGCTAGTCGTATCGTGGCGTGGTGGTTGCGTCGGTGGAAGCTGCCTCCGACGGCGTGCAAGGCGCTCTTGGACAAGCTTCTGCTTGCAGGACCGTATAAGCGGCTCTCCAATCGCCCACAACCCGAAGGAACATACAATGTTGTAGAGAAATATGTACGACTGCGCCCGCTCCACCGCATCTGGCGTCAACCATGTGACGCCCTTCAACGTAAGAATGACGGACAGACTGAAAGTGAGACCGTTTTGAAAGGTGCACCCGAGTGTAAGCACACCGTGCCAATGCGGTGGAAGAAGCAACTTAAACACCTTCGAACATCCGAAGCCGAGGGAAGCGGGCAGACATGCCAGAAGTGGTGCCCAGTAGAACTGATGGAGCTCTTCCCATGTGACGCGCAGGACCAGGTTGGAGAAGAGGAGACAAGGTAGAAAGATAAGCACGGAAATAACACTAAGCCCCTTGACGCTCTGCTCCGGCGCAGTAAAGAACCTAGACACAAAGAGACCAATGGCGGAGCATAGGAGAATCTTACCCACCGTTACCGTGGTGATTGTGATGAGCTGCAAGGTGCCCATTGGAACTCTCGTTTTGCCTGCATTATGAGGAAGTGGTTGAAGGCCAGAGAAGGGGGAAAACGAGGAGAAAAGAGAAGAAAACAACAGAAACTGTGGCCGATAAAAAAACCCTCAAGCTCACAGCAGTAGTGTCAACAAGAGGGAAAGAGAGTGACACAGGCACCTCTCTCTCTCTCTCAATATATATATATATATATATATATATAAATCAGGAAAATATGTTTTTCTTTCTTTCCTTTTAAATGTATAAACACCTCGCGTTATTTTACAACATATACCCGCATGTGGCGCAGCCCTTCCTCCAATTCCTTATCCACCTCCCCACAGGAAGAATGATCGTCGTGGCAGTTGCAACCCGCCTGACGCAGCACGAGGAACGCCTCTCGCAGTTCCGCCACATCGATCTCCGTCACCCATGACTGGCACCATTGCTCGAAAACCCCTTCCTTGCTCTCTTGCTCGTCACGGCTACGTTTGCGGGTGTTGCCATCCACATGTTGCTGAGCAGAAGCCTCACTCGCTAAGAGGCTGTTGCCGCCGCTGCTGCTGTTCATAACGACCTGCATATGTTCTGGCGTAAACGACGCGAATGTTTCCTCAAGGCTTGGGGAACAAATAAGAAGCTGACCACGACGTGCCACAATCTCGCGGAGACGGCACCACGAGCGGAGATGCTCCACTGGTGTCTCGGTGAAGTATTCAAACACGTTATGCAAAATCACAACATCGGCATCGCGGAGCGCCTCCTCCCCAGCCCCCTCGAAGCAGTTGCTGTGGATGATATCCACCTGCAGTGACGCAGGTTTCGATGCAAATCGTTTTAAGACAGTACGCTGCAGCTCAACCATTTCGCCATCGAGCTCGATACCTGTCACCCGTTGCGTGGCCCGCAAGCGTTGCTGCTGCGCGGCAAAGTAACACGAGAGAGGCACCACACCAAGACGCGAGCCCACATCCACAACGTGCCGACACGTGAAAGGAGACGCAGCATCTGGTGATTGTTCGTTGCGTCGTCGTAGGCACCAGTCCTGCGTGACAGCGTAGGAGGCGTCGCTAAGGGCGGGCAACAGGTAACAGGAGAGAAACACCAGCTGATCCTGTGAGAAGGAGTGCGTGATGAAGTCGGTTAGGCCAATCTCAACGGAACCGCACGCGCGGCAGTACTCACGCGAGATGCACCCACGCTCCACAAGTTCCTCAACGTCCTCCTCAAGGTACAGAAACGCGTCCACAGGATAGACAGGCGCCTTGCCACCACTGCTCGGCTCTTCCGTCTCGCGGCAACACGGTGCCGAGGAGGAGGAGGACTGGGGCGGCGCGTTTGGCTCGCGAATCGAGCCGTACGGCACACGCTGCTGCAGGAAGTGGCGCACCTTCGTAAGGGACCGGTCCATCTCCTCGACAATGGCGTCCTCGTCAGTCACATTCTCCCCTTGCGATTCCATCACGTCACCATTTTCCTTCCGCTGCCTCCCCCCCGCATGACGGAGGCGTTGCTTT